TATACACTTCGTAGGGTCTCCAAAGCTGCCTTTTCAGTATTGCAGACATTGCGAAGATACCTCCATCATCATCGGTCGGATATTAAAACAAAAATTAAATGCGATAAAATATTAAAATGTGATGAATTAATTTGAAAAATAAATACTGAAGCTTTTTTAAACCGCGCTAGAAGCAAAATCTAAAATTTTTGTACTGAAAAATAATTTTTAGTGCATGCCAATAATTGTATTTGAAATAGTTTTAAAAAACACTAAGCCAATCGGTAAATTGTAAAAGTTTTAAATGTTGGTATTTGAATTAACTACAAATTTTTACACAAATAAACAAAATTTTCAAATATTACACATGCAAGTTGGTAACATTTTCGTTTCAAAATGGCAGTATATAAAAAGATGAATAGTTATGTAACATTTAAAATTGCTACCTATGAGCAAATTTGAATAGAATTTTAATTCCTTGCGAAATTATTTGACTTCTCTCGCGGAATTTAAGTTTTCTAAATAAAAGGGTTCTAAAATATATGTGACGAATCTACATGACCGTGAACTAAAACTCTTACCAAAATAATTAAAATGAAATGCGAAATCGTCTATGGATAACAATTGTGTTTTTGTTTCTTTCCTTTCAAAACACGTGCAAATCTCGCCAAAGTCTGGGAGGGCTACATTTCTCAATAAGAGATAACCCCAAAACTTAAAGCCTGAGTTTCCCAGGCGATAAAGTAATTGTGGATATTTCGTTCGTAACATTTTCATGCTAGAAGAGTGTATTAAGTTTATGCGGGTGCTTGGAACATCTAGAGAAACACCTTTTATTAAGTCGATTGATTCAGAATCTTTTTATGAATCTATTATTAATCGATTCAGAACCTTTTTCCGATACGATATAGACTTATCTATCCGCGTCCTTGCTGCTGACGTAGATCCATATAACTTGCGCTCAATTAGGCAAAGCGACGTAGGGTATTTAACAGTCGGCCTTGCTCAACTATAATGTTTTTAAATCAGCAGACGAATTTAATTGATCCTTAGAAATAAATTTTCTTATAATTAATAAAATGCAGTAAATGTGATCAAATCAGTTCAGAATTTCAAATTAATCGAGAATACATATATATTAAGGTGGCCTCTGAAGGGGAAATTCTGTGGACTACTGTCTACTGTTTCTATGACTTTTGCTGATACTTTTTAAATAACATGAACATTATTAAATTTGGAATAAGTCTTCTTCTTTTTACTGATTTTGCGCTGAAAAGAAGCAATACATATGTTGTAGTATGCTTACTATAACCGATAAATACTAATGAAGACGAAACAAAAAAATTTGGGACTTGAAATACGTTGAAAAAGTATTAGATCTTAATTCAAACGTATCATTTTTAAATGGACCAAAATGTGATTGCATTCGAATTCTTGTTAACCTTCATATAAAGCCAAAGCGAAATGATCGCACTGTTTCAATGTACTTGAAAGTAAAAGCTAATTGCCACATACATACAAACATTATGCAATTTATTTTAAACAATACTTAAAATATCAAACTAAAAGCCAAGATTTATGCATATTATTATAAAATTCGCTTTTCTAAGATACAGTCCGTATCGCTAGATCGTGGTTATTTTGGTCAAGAGAAATACACTTCAAAATTTTTTTATTTACAATTATATTCCTTAACGCTAGGATCATTTATTTACAATTATACTTCTTAAATGTAGGATTCACAATTTATTATGGCCGTTCTCTCAACTTCTATGTTCTTGCCCGACAAACTGTCCCTTCCACAAATATTCTATTTACATACACTTTTGCAAGCAGGTTACTATACCCAAATTCATAGTTTTTATATTTAATTCCTACCTGCTTTTCCCGCTAATCGTTTCCATTGACGTGCAGCTGCATGACGCGCTTGCGAATGTGCGTATGGTTTTTCCTCCTTTAGGGAATTTATTATCTGGGAAAATTACTTAGCTGGAGTTAACTGCTTTCCTAACAATATGTATACAATAGATATAAACTGTTGTGCCAAAATTGATTTAAACGACTTAAATTTAGCAGTTACGTCACTTAAATGTCTCCAATCTACCACTTACTCTTTATTAACCGTTAATGATATATATTATTGTTGTTGTTCTAGCAAATAAGCACTTTATTTACATACACAAGTGTAGAATGAATTAAATCCAACGCCGTTCTTTCATCTTCAATTTCGTATGTTTCCTTCCTACTTCCTTCTGAATTCATATGTTTTTCGTATGTTTCTTTTTATCTTCTTTTGTTTTGTAAACAATTTCATATCTTTCTTTCCTACCTCCTTTTGAATTCATATGTTTTTCAATCGAATGTCCATATATACCAGAACGTTTTGACTTATTTTCAATAGCTCTTTATAAACTCTTGAATTCTCAACATAGAATAATCGGAAGAGAAAAACCCAAGGCTTACTATACGAATAGTTGTTGAGAATATTGTGGACACCTATTACTTAAAAAGGATATCACAACAACAACAAAAAAAGGAGAGAAAGCGTGCTACAAGAAAATTGGCGTTTAGCTTCGATTTTCGCTTTTAAATTAAGTGAAGCCATAAAGTGCGCTTTTACATTAACTAAAAAAAGTACGTAAAATATCTATTGAACATTGCAAACAATCGAAAAATTTATTGAAAAATTCTTAAATAAAACTTAAGATGAGCGTTTTTTAAGTGATGCACTCTGAAAGGCAGTTTTAAAGACATTTGCACACAACTTTAACACAAGGTTTAGAGATTTTCTTGGAGAAGCCTTTAACGTAGAAGACTTTTTTCTGCGCTGACTGCACATATTGCGTCCAAAAAAAGAAACGGATATTTTCGAATTGAATATGAAAAAAATGCTTGGAAAAAATTAAGCTTTTCATTTTTAATAAATGAATTCTGCATGAATATATCGCTGGAAGCGTTCAGTCATAGATTTCTTAGATCTTAGTCATAGATCCTTTTTTTTGCCAAAATCTATAGCGAAAATCGAGATCTCGAGTACGGATCAATATAACGTTAACTTTTTGCAATACGCGATTATTGGATTAGATCGTAATATGCATCTACTTACATCTCATTTCATTCTCGTCTAGTAGTTTGCTTAAAAAGTAGTCAAGAGTGCAAATTTTCGTTTCAATGAAAATATGCATACGTCAACAAACATAATTTTTCGCCTTTTTTTTGCCATTAACATTCCATCGGTTGTAAGCTTGATTTTAGTATAAAGTAAACAACACAGAATGATTGGAACAACAACGATTGCTGTTCCTTTGTCAATTCAATTCTACTTTGGCGACGATGTTAAACTTTCCGATCGCCCAAAATTAGCAATCGCTCTAGAAATCATTGCTTTGGTGGAGCGAAAATTAAAATCTGATAAGTACGTGTTGATCATTGAGAACGCTGCTTGTCGCTGTTTAAGGAAAATAAAAGGGATTTGCCATTTAATGCGTGACAATGAATGAAAAGTGCGTTCACCATTACGCTCTAGAGTCCAAGCAGCATTCGGACGAGTGGGCAACAATCGGCGAAGCCCGATCAAAGCGATCAAAAAAGTAGTATTACTGAAACAAGCGTAGCTTGTAAGCCTAAAAGAGAAAATTTCATAAAATTTTGACTGAAGGTTGCTATTATCCAGAAATCATATAGACCTGTGTACCGTTGTCATATGGATTTATTGAGCTATGCAGCATAATAAAAAAAAATCGGTTTTACTTTAAAAAAATCGCCTAAAATTCATACAATTCTTTTTAGAGATTGAAAGCGAGCCACCAAGACTATCCAGATCGTAATATATAGAACATTATTCTTTAGGTTTTCGCTTTTTGTAGCGACACTTCTTGCCTATTATTGAAATCAAATAAAAATTTAAATTAGTTTGCTTAAGAAGATTTTTCCCAGGAAAAGGAAATCAGTAAAAAGTTTTCAAGTCGTTATATTATCACATCTCATTAAGTGCTAATACAAAGTATACATTTATACGTATTTATTCTTGGACAATTTATGTATTGGCATCTTTACCGGCGAACTCTTCATCACATTGAAAGTATGCTGAAACTTTTGAGAAAGAGCAATTTTAAGCCACTCTAGCTAAGCGATAATTTAAAACTGAAAAAGATATGTAAATGGTGAATAAACATATAAATATTCACTGAGATACATAAGTTACAACAGCTGGCAATAAATCTAAAGAAAACATTAAACGATTGCAAACACAGGTGCCAGGCAGTAAACACCAACAACTTTTTTACAACTACAAGCTCAATAGCGAAATTATAATTCAACAATAAAAAAAAAACGGATTCGCGCGACATATACATTACACGTTAAGTTGTATTAATAATCTATGCTGCAAATGTTGACGATAATGAGGTTCGCGCATGTTTTTTGTTTTAAAGAAAAATGACGTTTATTCTGAAAGATTTTATATTGTTGACTTTTATATGAGTATGAGTAAGAAAAGCAAGAAAACAAAACGCAGAATGCTCCTAAAGGTATACTTCAGAGACACCTCAATTTCGCAACGTTTCATAAAATGATTTTATTAACATTAAAGTCCTCTCATTATAACAGAATGCACATATTTTAATCTCATTTAGTCTCTTTCTGTTACTGTATTAAATTTATTTTCCGCTCTATAGTGTTGCGCTGTTAATGCTACAGAGAAGTAAATGAGCGAACTTCGAATTCTGGCAAATTAAAGGAGAAGTAAATGAGCGAACTTCGAATTCTGGCAAATTAAAGGAGAAGTAAATGAGCGGGTCAGAATTACAAATATTGCATGTTTTTCATTGATTTTTTATCAATTTTTCTTTATTTGCATAACTGTGTTGAAGTATCATAACGAGAAAATTATTAACCGAAACCATATAAAAAACAAAAGGCATACAAGAACTATTGTTCCGTTGCCATCATTCATTCATTAATACAGCATATAGTGAGGCCAGCCAGCAGGTATCAGAGATAATGGCAGAGTATTAGTGTTGTGCCAACGACAAATTGCGTTAAAAGAAATACAAGCAGTTGGTTAGGCAGTGTAAAGCAATAAGTTATAGCAATGGTTACCTCGTTCGTTCGTTGGTTAGTTGCTTGCTTTTCACTATTCATTTGGTTGCACTTAATTGCCAACACTGTGTGTACTTTGCCGTACGGTCGTTAGTCAGTTCAGTGTGCATCAGGTGCGTTACGTGTGCGTTTGTGATTTCAGCTCGCTAGTATTTGCCATTATTTTTTTTTCGCGTGACTTTAATTAAAAATTTATATTAAGAATAAATCTTTTATAAAATAATATTTACAATATTTACTAAAAAATATTTTTTGTTAATTAAAACAAATAATTTATTTCTATTTAAGTGTTAAGCTTTTAGCGCGTTAAGTTTTTATTTATTAAGAAAAAGAAAAGAAAAACAATAAAAACGAACGAAAGCCAAATTTGTTATTATATTAAAAGTTACTCTTTGCTTAGTTGATTATTTGGATTTGGCGCCTCTTTCTTATTTTTGGCCAGCAAAAAGCAATTTTATATCGCCTGTGGGGTAAGTCAACGTTTAGTTAAAAATTAATTTCTGACAACGATTTAGTGATTTTATCGAATGTAGAGATTTTTATAGTTGTGTCGTTGACTTCGAAACAAGTAAATATTGTAAAAATATTCTTTAGAAACACTTCTACTTCTTTTCTTATTACAGTTATTTTACTTGATTGAGTTTCGGTGCATTTATTGAATTATCCTTCTAATTTTTTTACTTTAGTTATTTATATTTTTTTTATATATTTATTTGCTTATTTATTTTTCATCTCTGTTTAATTATATTTAGTTTATTATTTGTACTTTTATATATACATAATAATAATATACATATATATATATTGTGCTCTCTATATATAGTTATGCACAAACATATGTGTACAAGTGTGTAACCATTCATACATCAGCCTTATGACATTTCCGTCACTTATAACCGCTTACCCGTACGTAAGCACCGTGAAACGACCATCCTGACATAGCCTGGTAAGCAATTCATACAAAAGCATGAATGCAATGAGAGTTCCGGTTTCCGTTGTTCTATACATGCGAAATCGTATGTTGAACAAGAGTAAACGACATTATACGGAAGCGCTTACACCGAAAACTATGCACTAAAATTACACATGTGTATTTTATTTATTTTTTAAGTCTGGCAACTCTGTCGCGCGGTATAGTCATCTATATTTTGTTTCGGCAATTAATATTTTAATTTTTTGTTGAATTTCGTGGCTATTCTGCCTTATAGTGTGTGAAGTAAAAGAAATATTTTTCCTTTACGCTTTGGTTCATTTGATTTTTTTTTGTAGGCAGCGGAACATTGACTTTTATAAACCCGTTACGGAGACCCGTTACGGTTTCTCGGAATTGAGTAGAAATCTCGGCTCCTTGTGGCAAAAGTTTGAGCTCATTAAGTCTAGGTTTGATGAGCGTCGTTTTATTGGATACTCATCTTCTACTCGTAGCGTAGCGTGTGGGATGTCACCTCTGGCTTTCTCCAAATCTAATTCGTTGGTACCAGTTACCGCTCCTTCTAACTCTAAAATGAACAGTAATGTTTCCGATATTGCTGAGTCGGTTGGTAGCAAAACAGTTACAAACAAGCTGGCAAGTCCTTCTGTTTTAAGCTACGCTGAAGTGGCAAGGGTATCTCCGCCCAGAGCCGCCACTCACTCTAATCAAGCGCTTTCGCCTAAAAGTAATGAAGAGAAAAATAAATCATCCTCTCCTCCTGGCTGTTCGCGTGTGAATGTTGGTCACCAGACTGGGCAAGTCTCACAAGCTGCAGGTACAAGGGCGATAACCCCATCTATATTCTCCCCAACTCGAAACTCTCCTACCGTGAACCCCCCTCCTGTTCCAAATAATGACATTTGCTTGACGGCAGTTCCTCCCAGAAAAGCAATATTTGTGTCAAGACTGGCACCTGAAACTTCGGTGGATAACATAAAAAGTTATCTGTCGACGAAAGTCCCATCAGTCAACTTAAAGCGTGTTAGCATTTTCAAAATGGCTCCTTCTCAAGCTAGGGCAATCTCTTCTTTTAAAATATTAGTTCCGACTGAAAACAGTGATATGTTGTTAAACAAATCACTGTGGCCAGTAGGATCCTTAATTAAGGAATTTATCCCTCGAGATCGTCCCCTTAATACCAAGACAATAGCCTTGTCGCCTTCAAAAAACTAATTGTTTCTTCAGGCCCACTATCTCTCATTTATCAAAATGTTAGGGGCCTAAATTCGAAAATTCGTTCCACTTTTCTAAATTCAGTGAGCACGGAATTTTTCTCTTTGGCCTTTACTGAAACTTGGCTAAAACCCGATCTACATTCGTCGGAACTTTTTCATAATTCTTTCCAAGTCTTTAGAAATGATCGAGTGAATCGCATTGGTGGTGGTGTATTAATTGCCATATCTGCGTCAGTCCCGTCCAATTTAATAGAATTTCCCACTTCTCCTGACGTTGAATTTATCGCTATTCGTGCGAATATGCCTGATAAACATCTATTTATAACCTGCTCCTATATTCCCCCAAATTCTGATATCTCCATTTACAGAAAACACGCTGCCCTCATTTGTGAAGTGGCCAAACGGTCTAGACCCACCGATTTGGTCGTTGCATTGGGTGACTTCAATTTTCCTCAAGTCACTTAGTGTAACACTGATAATTCTGGCTACTTCAACGTCTGATAGGGCTGTTGTGTTCTTTAGTGAATTGTTTGATCATAATTTGGGTCAATATAATCGTACCCCTAATTGTAATGGTAGACTGCTTGATCTCTGCTTTGCCAATTTTCCCGAGATTTACGTAAATCGTTGTCCACCTTTTAGTTTACCTGAAGATCCTTATCATCCATCAATATGCACTTCCTTTCATCATATTAACGATGGTTTGTTGAAATGCCTTAATGTGCCAAATCAAACTTTTTTAAATAATTATTATGATTTTCATAAAATCAATATTGTATTACTAAAACATCGTCTTTCACATCTGACGCTTGATTTCTCAACCGGTAGTATTGAAAGCTTATTGTCATCGTTCTACAATACATTAAATCTAGCTATTGCTGCATCTGTTCCGATCAAGCATTGTCGACGTCGAAGCAGGTGTCCTCCGTGGTGTAATAAGACAATTAAATATCACAAGAATAGAAAAAACTCGCTATTCAAAAAATATTCGAAAAGTGGCTCGACTATGTCGCTTACTCGGTGGCGAGGCATAGATTTAACTCCCTCAACCACCATTATTACTGCAGACACCTTCAGTTCATTAAATCCTCTCTGTTTGCTAATCCTAAATTCTTCTTTAAATTTGTTAACTCTAAAAGAAAAATTTCCACATATCCCTCTCATGTTTCTTTTAATGGCTCTGATTCCTCGGATTATTTTGAAATCTCAAATCTATTTGCTGAGTATTTCCGACGTAACTTTTCGATTGCTAATTTCGATTTATCAGCAAACTACCCATATCCTATAACTAACTCGGTTTCAATACCTAACTTGGTTATTTCGGAAGATGACGTTTTTAAAGGGTTGAGTTCTCTGAAATACAGTTGTTCACCTGGACCTGATGGAATTCCATCATGTGTACTTAAATCTTGCGCTGTCGAGTTATGTGGTGTGATCTCAAAGATTTTTAACATGTCCTTGTATTGAGGTGCTTTCCCTTCATGTTGGAAAAGTAGTTTCCTTATTCCTATCCACAAGAGTGGAAGTAGACAATTTGTTGAGAACTACAGAGGCATAGCCAAGTTGAGTGTCTTGCCCAAGTTGTTCGAGCGTATTGTGACTCAGCATTTGGCCTTTGCCATTAATTCGTATATTTCTCCGCACCAGCACGGCTTTCGGAAAGGGCGATCTACAGTCACCAACTTGTTGGAGTTTACCTGTCATGTTTTCAAGGCTTTTTCTAGTGGCTCTCGCACAGATGTTATTTACACTGATTTAAGCAAAGCATTTGATATGGTTAACCATAGACTACTTATCTTTAAACTCCAAGCCTCCGGTTTCCCACCCTACTTAGTGAAATGGATAAGCTCATATCTGCACAATAGATCCTTTAGGGTTTTGTTTAACTTCATCACCTCGGATGAATTCCCCGTTACGTCTGGCGTACCTCAAGGAAGTCACTTAGGTCCCATTTTATTTAGTTTATGCATTAACGATCTCCCATCGGTGGTTAATTCCAGCCAGATCTTAATGTATGCTGATGATGTGAAACTGTTTTCTTCCTTCTCTGTTGAATCGCAATCACATCAGCTTCAAGGTGATTTGGATAATTTTGTTGCATGGTGCTCTTTGAATCTGCTGAAACTAAATCTGAGTAAATGTAAGAAGCTTTCATTCTCAAGAAGAAAGTCATTCATTACTCAGTATTTCATAGATTCGCATAAGTAGGAGGATGTCGATTCGATCACAGATTTAGGCGTTCTATTTGACCATAGGTTACGTTTTAATTTGCATATTGAGCTCTCGATTAGCAAAGCTAGGTCCGCGCTTGGTTTTATAAAAAGGTGGGCCAAAGAGCTTGATGATCTCTACATTACGAAAAGGCTGTATATGTGTCTGGCTAGACCCATACTCGGGTATGCCTCAGTTGTGTGATGTCCTTCATATAGGCGCTACGTAGATTCAATCGAATCTGTTCAAGAGCAATTCTTGCTGTTTGCCCTTAGAAATTTAGGTTGGGATCCGGTTGCCTCTCTTCCTCCGTATGAAAATAGGTTGCTTCTGCTGTCCCTACCGTCTCTTGAGAAACGTAGATTTGTTCTTGTCGTTTCCTTTCTAATTAAAGTAATAAATAGTGCCATTGGCTTGCCTTCATTACTTGGTGAAATAAGCTTTAATGTCCCCAACCGCTTCTCTAGTCACTTTATCTTGGTTAAGCTTAGTCAGTGTAAGCTTAATTATGAGCTGTTCAATCCGCTCAGAGTCGTTTGCAAGAACCTAATCGACGTCTACCACTTATTCTCGTTATCGGACTCTTTAAAGTCCATTAAAGCAACATTGCTTAATACGCGCGATTTACCTATGTCGTATTTAAATTAGCTTTTATCCTAAAAAACCGTTACGTTTCGAAAATGAATTATTGACAATTTATTATCGGTTGCCAGGCTTATGCATGTTTGGGATGGTTTAGGGGTTCATTTGCAATTTGATCCTGTACCGGTTGTAAGTGTGTCCCTATGCTGATAGTGTACATGCTTTTTTTTTCGTTTTCGTTTTCTTTCTTCTTATTTGTTTTATTATACTTATACTAAATTTTATTATTAATTAATATAAGTTTTGCATTAAGAGCCAATTGAACTCGACTGTTATTTGTTTGGTTGAGTTTCTACTATAAGTAGAATAAATAAATAAATAAATAAATAAATAAATAAAATGACCATAAAAATTTCGAGAAAAATTATTAACCAGAGTAATTCCGTTGATACATCCATCTCTGAGGGTGTATTAAGTTCAATAAACACTTGTGCTGCTATTAAATGTTTGTTACATATTTTTCAAATCTTTGCTTATAAATTGTATACTTTATCTGACAACCTATTACGCTTGCTTTTCATTTCGTATCTAGATAATTAATTATCAACATGCTGGTCCTATATTTTTCTTTTACATTGTGCTTCTGAGCCTGAGAAAATTTGTCTTTCCGTCTATCCGTCCAGGAATGTTGGACAAATAAGTGATGCGTCGCTAAGACAAAATCGATTCAGGGGTTTAAGGAACTATTTTGACATTTTCTATCTGTCATTGGAACATGAGGACATCCTAATGCACGCTCTAACAAGAATTTAACAAGTACTCTTATCCTTTCAAGAATCTTATCCTATGACGGATCCTATCCTAATACCTAAAGATAGTCCAAATAGCGGTCATTCGAAATTAAATCCTAGTTCAATTAATATTTACTGAAAATTCTTTTTATTAAACCCGTAAAGCTGTTTGCATGCGATATATAACATAATCGGGCCATAAATTTTGTGCTATTTTACTTACAGAATTAAATATTTTTGCTTTAGTTTAGAGAGTATTATTGTAAACATATTTATGTTTTCCTTAATTTCAATATTTATTTAATAAAGGATAACAAAACAAACAAATAATCGATGTCAAAATAATCGGTATGAACGAGATGTGATTTCAATTTTTTGTTTTTGACTTTTTTCACAAATTAGCAACGAATTAAATTTTTTCGTTTAGCTCGTTATGCGGTCACCATTGATAATTGGATTTTTTGTGAATTTAATTTAAAATTTTCTTTTTATCTATTGCTTGGGAAAACGGGGCTTTTATTTAGTAATAAAATACTTTCCGTTGTGAACGGAAACATTTTCAAAATTTTTAACAGTCAGTTTTTTCTTTTTTATTAAATCGGTGAAATTGTTGTATATTGAAGTAAGTTTCGGTAGTGTTTTGATGTAAACTAATTTGATTTGAAATTTACATCTATCGTAATATCACTAGTGTGTAAGCAATGCGCATATAAATGCAAAAATCACTTTTCTAAAAAAGTTTTTTAAACTTTTGCATTTACTTCTAAAGTAATTCTCTAATTTTGTCGTATACCCAACAAACCAAAGAGTAACAATTGAAAAAAACTATAACTGTTTAATAGCCTTTTAAGTAAATAAAAGCTAAAGAATGGTAGCGGATGTTGACAAGATGATATTTCATTGAGAAACGTATTGAGAGACGCTTTAAAAAACTTTTAATTAATGCTAATGTTCGAACTTCGAAGAAAAGGCTAGACTGAAATTGAGACGCTGAGCTTAAGAAGTTTTTAGTTATTCGTAACATTATCTTTGGAACTTATAAGGAAAAGCTTTGTTTAATGCTGGTAAGCTAGCGAAAATATATGAAAATAGTAGATGTTTCTTAACTGCATGCACGTTATTAAGACAATTAAAACCGAACTTCTAAAAACATTAAAATTTCAGGAGAAAGTAACAAAGCATTGAGCCATTTCATACTCTTCACTATGCGGCTGTGCATTTTGTGCAGCTATATACACTCAGAAAAAAATTTATAACTTATCAATTAAGCGCATTTTCTGAAATTATTTAAATGCGTCTGTCAGTCAGATATTAGTTTATACCTGTCGATGTATTTCTGGGTTTAACCAATATGTCGCAATTTTCAAAATATTTCGATACGATTTTGGCACGGATATATTTTGAACTTAGGATACACGCTATTAAAGATGAATTAATTCGGACAATTTTTACGATCGCCACGCATACAGTGCCCCATTTTAAACAATTGTTGTATGACAAAATTGCTATATTTTGGTATTTCCCGACAAAAATTTGGGAAAAACAGCATTTTTTCATGCTATATGAATACATAGAGAATGGTAGAGCCAATTATTTTATTACTCTTCCAAAGAATTGTTCTACCAAAAATAACTTTTCATATGGAAACAAGTGGTTATTTTTAATATTTTATGACAAGTTCACAAGTCTGTCATATAAATTTATTGGTTTCAATGTGGACCTTGGAGTATTTCTTGAACACCTCTCCGTTTTCGTCTCATGCAAAGTAAACTTTTATAAAGAAAATGTTTAAAAAATAACAAAGATTTGAAAAAAAAAAACAAAAAATTAATTCTAAATTTAGACTATATTGGCGCTTGTTACGGACCCACTCTTATATAAACTATTTTCAAAAAGTTATTATTATAAATACTTATTTTCATTGTTTTAGAAAATCCATTATTTTGCTTTACTTGTTAACTTTGGATCACTGTATGAACGACGAGACATAAAAAACTAATACTCACCCATTTTCCTTAACATCAGAAAATTTATCTAGGTATGATAATTAATTAATTAATTAATTAATTTACGATGAATCGATATAGTGTAAAAATTTATAAGCGCTCTGTGTTATTGAAGTATACTTTAAACTTTCTTTTTCTATGATTTTTTGATTTTTGCTCTAAAGTTTTTTGACAAAAAAGTTTAAATATGACTTAAAAAAGTTATTAAATACAAAGTTTTTTTTTCAATTTATATTTCGTAAGATAGCTTTGAGTAGCTTCACATAAATTCTATTCGCAGAAGGAAGCTTTTGAAATTGTTACATGTTCGTCTTAATCATATACATATAAAAGGAGAATTTCTGATTCCTCTCTTTTTTCTTTTTTTGTCAAATTTCTGACTTTTCAACTTGCCGATGTTGTCGGTTACGCTATCTCTCTATGCCGCCTTGAATTTCGCTTTTTGCAATCAACCTTCCTTAATCATTATTCAAATCCGTTTTTCTCTTGCTTTCTTTATAATATACTGACTTTTTGTTACGATGGAAAGTTGTTACTGTATTAAATTTATTTCTCACATTTTTCGAATTATTGAGAATATAATACGCTTATTCTCGTATCTGGCCAATTTTTATACGCTTATTCTCACATTTTTCGCTTATTCTCGTACATGGCCAATTTTTTTCTTGAAAGCTCTCAAATTGTGCCCTTTTTTTATAACCATCACAGTCTGTCTGGCAATTTGTCCGTCTATGTAATATCTGTTGTAAATATTCTCTTGGTCACAACACTTAAGCTATTGACCTCTAATTTGATTGGAAGTTCTTGCATGCAAATTGGTATTGAAAATGGGCCAAACCAGGAAGACCGCAGTTTTTCAGAAGAAATAAAAAAATTGATTGTTTGCTCATTACTTACAAACTATACAAATAAATGTACAAAACTTTCAATGTGGATGCTATGAGTGATGCTGTAGTACCTGCTCAAAACTGGAAAAAATTGATTAGGTCTACCCATTGTTATAGTGTATCAAATTTTTAATTTTTTTTATCGTACAATGTCTTGATTGCTTCTTTTTCATCTGGTTTATTAACAAACATATCGTCCTCTTATATAAGTTTTCCTGGATGCCGCGTACAAATAGAATAATACGTTTAATGTAACTCCATTGATCGTTGGATGATGATGTAATGGTAGGGATAGAGTAGCTTGCATCATAGTAAAGCTGGTTTCGATTTTTCTACTCGATTAGCCAATTCCGGTTTAATGGTGGGAAATCTCGATACCGATGGTTTTGATTGTTTGGCTGGGCTTTGAAATAAAGCACGTTTCGAGGTCTCTCTTGATGGTCCAGGTTTAATATCATTACGGAAAAGACACTTACGTGCTGAGGAAGTCGGGGTTTTGCGATCTATAGAAATACCAAAAGTTGGACCGTTATAACACGACTATTAAAATTTTCAATTTTACATACGACATACTTTTCTTTTTACTGCCGGGTGTTTTACGTTTAGGTGTATTTTCTTTACGCCGATTTTTCCCTTTGCTGTAAAGAGGTTTTATATTTTGGCAAGGGTAGGAAAATTTTTTAAAACAAACTTACGTTTTATCAACTAAAATTTGCGGACCTATTAAAGTCTGGGATTGTTGGGAAGTGTTCGCTAAGTTAGCAGAAGAAAACACTGCTCTACGTCTGGCCAAATGACTTAAACGACTTCCAGGCGATTGACAAAGTTGTCTGCGGAAGATAAAGAAATAAAAATTGCATTATTTTTCTTCGATTTAGCGATACGAACTTACTTTATGCGGGCATTATGTCTTTTAATGTTTGAAGGAACATTTTCATAAGAAGAAGCCGTTTCTGCTCCGATGAAATGTTCCACAATAGACAAATTTAAGTACTCGTTACTTTCGGAGGCTTCGTTTAGGTTATAGCTATATAAGAGAATAATATAATTTTTTAAGAATTGCTTAAGAATATCAAATATTCTACCTCAGACCGTGTTGCCTTAGTGCCAAAACATCTTTCCAAGGCATATTCTTTGCATCTTCCAGAGTATGTGTAGGTTTCATGAAAACACGAATTCAAAGATGATTCGCTCGTGTCGTTAAAAGTTGGAACCGTTTATATCTATGGAAAGTTTATATATATAATAAAATTAAAATTATATTCTATGTATATATTATATATAAATATATTATATGTATATGTATGAGAGTGCACCATTCACTTAATTGAAGGAAATTAAAAAATTAATTTGGGTTGGCTGTCATGCTAGAAACTCACCGCCTTAGTGCCAAAACATCTTTCCGAGGCATATTCTTTGCATCTTCCAGAGTATGTGTAGGTTTCAATAAACTTTCATGCTTGTTATCCTCTGCGCTGGTGTACTCGTGGGCAGTGGAATTGCAAAAAAAGTTCAAAATTTCATCTTTCTGTGTTAATATCGCTTCAAACATATCCAGCTGAGGTATAGTAACAGAGGGCGGAGGTAAAACTCCAGCCAAACATTTACGTATCCTTTTAAGAAATTCCTTTTCACGTCTGCAGTTCTCGCGAAAAAGTACTTTAAAGCGTTTGCCTTTGATTCCATTGTCAGCGAAACTCACATCCCCGGCCTGTTCATCGTCAACAAAACTTGATTCTGTTGGGCAATGAAAAGAGCAATTCTCTATAGCATCATAGGCAGCGCCGAATGTTGGATTTGACTTCTCTACTCTTTCTGTTGCAGAATATTGGTTATCTTTTTCCATTTCCACATGATTGTCCACGCCGCCATTACCGTTCTCATCATCGTCATCATCATCATCACCGAATAAATCAGGTGACTTTTCATTGCTATATTTTTTCAAAATGAACGATCGCGAAAATTGTTTAAATGGCTGATAGTTACTTAACTCGGAAGAAGCCGGTGCAAGTGAGTATATTCTCTGATCGCAATGATGAGAATTATCTTTCTCACTTGATGTTAGCCTATTTGCCAGTTGACTGATTTTACCATTAAATGACAATTGAGAATGATTTCCACTGTTCAATTTTTGCAATACTACATGTTCAGTTGAAACTCATGGCTTCACCTAAATGAAAATGAGAAATTCCCATAAATTTCTGCTGCCTACCACTATTTCATAAAAGTCATCTTACCATTGAACATAAAGTAAAAAGTAGTTAAAGAATATCTCTTTTCCGTTTTAGAAATTGATCTGATTATCTAACATAGCCAATCTTAAGCCTGTTGTTGATTGGCTTCCCAAAAAAGTCATAAGTAGTAAAGAAAATTTGTTTTCAATAACTTAAAAAAAGTATTTCTTTCAACTCACTTCGGGTTGAAAAGTGAGCCATGTCAAACCCAATCTTGAAGTTACTTTGCCCATTAGTACGCGTTCAGGCAAGTCCATGATATTGGCTATTTATTATCTTTAATTTCTTTATTATTATCTTCATCCGTAGACTTTATATGTCTTTCTTTTTCTTTATAAGTTTCATCTGAAGTACTTTGACTAAAATTATCTTCTAACCCATTCGAACTGTAAATTCACATAAATAAACATATAAAATGTCTTTTTATATCTTACTTGAATCAGTATCTTTTTGTGTCCTCATCATAATCCAATCTTAAAATAACATCTGACTGAGCGTGTTCGTAACCGCCCGGTGGACCAACATCGTTTAGGTAATACTCATCCTTTTTATCAATTTCCACTTTTACATTTTCCATTAATTGCTCTTGCTTTGTTTCTTCTGTTGGACCAACGAAGTGTGAAGGACTTTTCGATAACTGCCGCTCTGACTTAATATTTACAATAATTTCTGGCTCTTGTGGCAAATCGATTGGTGGTTCTTGCAAACAGTCTTCGTTTTTCACAACAGTTTTTAAATTCCTTGCTTGATTCAAATATATTTCGTGTAACTTTCGCGCCTCTAAGAGGAAAACGTAAATATCTTTTAATAAATTTGCACACTTGATACACAACCTTCGTGGCACCAGAGTTTCTTCTTCTGAAGATTACGCGGAAGGTAAATTTACTTCAAATTTAATTTAAATTTTCAATGAAATAATATTTTAATATATATATTTGGTTGAAAACTTTGAAATTATTTTTTTAATTTCCCTTTGTACTTTGTTGCTTTTACTTCGTATTTGTGTAAGATTTTTTTGGTAAAATTTGACCAAGTTAGTGCATTTTTAGCTAAATAAAATTATATAGAGAGAAATTTTAGATTTTTGCTTTTCTAACAAAATCACTGATAATTAGAACTTGAGCTTTAAGTACATATTTATAATTAAGTTTGAACTATTATACTTTTCATGAGAACAAACCAGAACAATAAAATAAAATGTAGTTTTTCAATTTAAAAGAAAAAAAATTCAAAATTATAATGAATTATTTTTTGGTTGGCTGACGCTAAAGAATACTTCAAACTTATATTAAAATATAAGCAGCAAATTTATTTAGTGGTTATGACGAAGCCATATAAATACGGTAAAAATTCAAGTATTAATATTTGCTAGTAAATGTAGGCAATAAGTCCTTTATTTTTTTTATCTTAAATAAAGCTTTAATAATAAATGAGATTAAGTTTATGGTAATACTGTTACGTCATATTTATACAGAGGAAAAAAATCAGAAGTTTTAAATGGTTGTAATGCATAGTGGTCTCGCCAAGACAACCAAAAGAGTGTACAATCAGCGTAAACAGCGTACTCGATTTAACTACATTAGTATATTCCTCTTTATTTGGGAGTAAAGAGAACATTTTTAAGAATGGCAGGATCGGAACCTTCACTTTTATTGAACGGCACCTGTCGCACGCAGAGCAAATCAGATTTTAAGAAAATGTATACGTCTATAGTTAAGGAAAGGTAACCATTTATTACTAAATTATTTTTTAACAAACTTTAAAAATTCTCTATCACCAATAGAAATCGCTGCACGTAATCGAATGAAATACTAGGAATCGTTATACTTATGCTGGCCGCCGTTTTAGAAAATCCTGCTGCGAGCAAAGTATATTTCTAGTTTTGAAAAGTGTTGCTTACGGACATTTATTAGTGTTATAATCAATTTTTTATTAACTCATAGTCCGCAACCCCGGTACAATGACACTACATTTCCGTTTACAATTACTTTTTATCACTCCGTTTTCTGAAGTATTTATGCCAGCGTCTGCTCTCTTCGTTGCATCTATTGAAAATAGAATCGCTCGTTTTACACTTTATATGTAGTGAAATTACCGAAAAACGACGAGGGAATACATGTAGGAATTCTTAAATAAGATGAAAAAGTTCATTCTAAATTCTAAATTTTTGGGGGGAAAATTCACTCTTAGTCTCATATCCATTCAACTGTCGTCTCGATGAAATTACTTTGCTTGGGAACGGTTGTAAATTAACATAGACAGAAATCGAAAGACAAAATATCAGGGTATAACTTTCTAGCAAGAATTTATCGGGCATAAACTGACTTCTTTGTACGCTTAGGGAAGCATTTGGAATTCCAAATAAAAGATTCCTTCCAGGTAAAGGGTTGTTTACCTCTATTCTACAAAGGTCAAAGCATCCATTAAGCTAACAAAAAACTGTTATAACGAATATGTATTCAGCTATGGCTGAACCATTTATCCAACATTTTTATATAACAAAAATCTCCAAAAAAAACCGAAAAGAGGAAATTTCGATAGTCTAGAATATAGAGTGACTCTGTCCAACTTTTATTATTTTTGTATAGGTACTGCTGAATCACCCATATTTTTATAAATAATGACCAAAAATGCTGTCGATCGATATGGCCCAGGTTCAATATTTGTTCCAAACTTGAAGGTCTGCCATGTTAATACTCCCATTACTTGATTGTGGATATAAAAATAGATTTTCTGAAAAACTTACGATGACATTACTTCTTAGCCCTATACCTACAGTAGCAGATAGGAGTGCGTTTAGTCTTTGTTATTGCATTTGCGGTTTTCAAAGTCTTCGTCTCTATTTACACATCAGATTAAATCTACCCTTGGTTTCGCCCGCGGTTATATATAAACAACAACGACAAATTGGTTTGTGTTTGGCCGAATTTTTCTACATCCGCTAATTTGTATTTGATATTCGAAATAGGGTGACGTTACAGCACTCTGCACATAGATATTTCAAATCATTTTTATAAGAAGTAATATCCAAACAAAAAACCATAGATCTAATTTACGAACTTGAACGATTTATTACGAAGTTACTAAGGAAAAAAATTAAATCCAACTTAAAGTATTGTTACGGAAATCTCAAATTCAGTTCATTCCAACTAATTACTTTCCCCAAGTAATAAATTCCCTAGAGAGGGACAACCGAAGTGCACATTCGCGGCGCATCATGCAGCTGCCGGCCGAGGAAAACGATTAATGGAAAAGCAGGTGAACGGATTGAAAATGAAGCCATGAACTTAGGTAATAGTAGTATGCTTGTCAAAATGTTTATAGATAACTATTTGCGGAAGGCAGAGTCAGTGGGATAAGAACATTTGAATCGAAATAGGCTATTAAAGTTGAGAAGTGGACGGTATTGTCAAAGTAAAATGTAAATAGTCCTACTCTTAAAATATTGATTGTAAATAAAAGAGTCTTGTAGTGAAAATGTGCAAACTTATTTCTCTTAAAAAGAATATCCACGAACTTGTGATGCAAAGATATATTTAATTCATTTAAATATTTTTTTAATTGTCAATTTAATCTCTAGCGGTTTGCTTTTCAAAGTAAATTAAAATGCAATCCTCTATTTACTCTACAATATTCGTATGTGCGCTGTATTGGTTATACTTTATGTCAACTGCGGTACAACGCCTTTTCATGTGTTACGGGACTCGAGATGGATCAACTTTTTTATTGTTCCAAACCGATTTGAAGGTGTTTGGTAAATTGGTTTAAGTCTGTCTGCCTGGCTTTCCGTTCGACGTCTATCTATTCCATATCTATCCATGCACGTTTACAATCACATCACGTCTTTTGCGCTGATATGTTTTGGCCTGTTGAAATGAACGAAATCAGCCCCATTTTGCGGCAACTTCCCATACAGCTCCACATTTTCAAAAAGATAATCCGAAATATTAGGCGGTATTGATTATCACTTTTTTTAAGACATTGTATGTCTCTCCTTTATGTATATAAACATTTAGATAGGAGTGAGGAAAGAGCCCGAGCATTCATTTTAGCTGCTGGCGTAAGCTATTCGAAAGTATAATATGTTTTATCGCATTGGGAAATTAATCCGGGTTTACGATCTTATAGTCGTGCTTCTTTTATACCAGGCTATGAGCTCGCTGTGCTTTATCCGCTGATTACATTTTAAGTTTTTTAGATTTTGTATTTGTTTATGCATAGGGCCTACAAAAAAAATCCGATAAATATGACGTACTAGCGAATACTTAAAGGCTTTCCTTATTCAAATGTTTAAGTTATCAAACTCTAGGAAGAAATCGTTGCTTATCGTTGAAAACATAACGATAGTATTTTCAGGCTATTTTGAACTTGATCTTGTAATGGAAAAATCAGATTTACTTTCATTTCAGTTAGTGGAAACGCGCGTGCTTCTCATAGATATAAGGTGATATAACGGAGAATTTTTGACTCGAGAGAACTTAGAAATAAATTAAAAGACATAAGAAATTAAGGTTACGGCGACCTTTCTTTTTTCCTCGAAAATAATGTTCGAACATATTTAAATGTTCGAATTGGGAGTCGATTCATTCATAAAATCCGTCAAGCAATTTTGTAGTGAGGCCCAAATGTCAATAAATAGGTGGATCGGTTGTTTTGATGGCATATACGAGGCGTCAATCTTTTATTGATTTTATGTCAATCCTTACGGAAACAGAATTATTACCAATTCAGAGAAGAGAAGCGAAAGCTGTTCATTGAGACGTTTATATCATGGCTTATACCGTGGTCCAGTTTTTGCTGCAGAGCAAGAACGATTATTAAATACCCTACACTGATTTGCTGCAAACAAAATAGCATTTATTTATTTTTGTCACGAAATTATACCCTGTAGAATGGTGCGCAACTGGTAAATTGAGCGACTCAAAATTTAACAAAATTAATTTTCTTATCAAGGATCTTACTATAATTCACCTATTTGCACCTATTCCTGCCCTAGAACACCCTTACACGTGGCGTCTTATGCAAATCATAAATTTTTTCCAATGCGCTCCAATCCGTTTACAATTAAGTTTGTCCTTGACTCAACAGTTTGTACACAAGAATGCGTAGGCTGGTGGACAGAAATGCCTTCAAGCGGCGCAGAAAATAATTACACATTGATCAGTTTCGTAAATGGGACATCTATCTTTTGTCCTTCATTACGTACATATTATACACATTCCCCCAATTTACCATGTCCTGTATCACGAGTGTTACC